TAGCTCGCTACTTACTGTATAATACATAAAAATCTCTATTATGTAGTTCATGTAGCAAGTCTCTAGGGTATCACTGGCAATAGATCACTATTTATTACATAATATGGACAAACCTCCACTGTGCAATTTATGTAGCGAGTCTCTTGGTATTCGCGATAGTTCACTGTTGTATCAGACATACAAGTCTCTATTGCATGATTCATGTGATAAGTCTGTACCGTGTCATTCTCATTAGTTCACTATTATATAATGTATTACAAAAATATTGTGATTGCACTGTTGGGTAGTTCCTGTAACAAGGCCTCATGGCATCCTGTGCACTAGCTCGCTACTTGTTGTATAATACATAAACATCTCTATTGTGTAATTTGTGTAGCAAGTCTCTAGGGTATCACTGGCAATAGATCACTATTTATTACACAATATGGACAAACCTCCACTGTGCAATACGTAGCGAGTCTCTGCCGTATTTGCAATCGCTCAGATTATATAATACGTACAAATGTCTGTTGTGCAGCTTATGTAGAAGTCTCTGCGGTTTCACTCGCAGTAGATCACTAATCCACAATATGTACGAATCACCATTGTGCGATGTCATAAGTGTCTCTGGTATCGCTCGCAATAGATCACTACTGAGTATAGAACATGGAAAAACACTGCGTCATTCCCGTGAGCAGTCTCGACGGCGTCACTGGCAACAGAGGACTGGCTGTATAACGTGCGCAAACCCCCATGGTGTGATTCAGTCGCTATCTGCTGCATCTGTGTGTGTATCTGTAACAGCTCGCCGCTGTGTCCGTGACTTCATACGTCACCACTTGAGCACATCACGCATCCCATGACTGTATCATGTGTCACCGCCTCATCCCGCAATTCCTGAGTCACCTGTGCCGTTTGCAGTAGGCCTCTACTGAGCATGCGACGTGCCACAGGCCACCGCTGTGCCTTTATGTGGCAAGTCACTGGCACCACGTGGGCGGCACGGCTGTCTACATCGGTGAGCAGTCACTGCCGTGACTGCTGTTGTCGTCACGGCGGCCTGACGCCACGCCGTGACTACATACGTTGCATGTAGTGAGTCAGCATTGCCGGTGTGCAGTAGCCCACTATTTCTCATATAAGAAATCGCTACAAGAAGTCAGTGTTGCAGAAAAGTATCCATAGTAATCACGATCGCTGTTGACCTGCCGACTACGAATGTAACTCACTGTTGCATCCCACGAGTCTGTAGCTACGAATACATCAGCTACCCCGTTCCTAGGTGTTTATATCAAATGTGCCTGTGTGGATTGAAATGTTGTTTCGAAATGTCGCGTCAATGTCGTGTCTGTGATCACTCTACACTAAACAATGATGCATCTGTAACAAAACAGTTGTGTTCTAAGTATATACAAAGAGTCTAAAATAACACCAAACGCTACCTAACATGACGATAAAATAGCACTATACACATGTGTTACCTGCCGCCATCCTACGTAACGTTTCAGACCTTCCGAGGGGCGCAGGCTATTGCACCCCAAAAACTTCCCACCCTGACGCCTCCACGCGGGTTCCGATGCCGCGCGCTGAGCTCCGGGCTCCCACCACCGGCACCGAGGACCTCGCTAAGTCGCGCCCGGAGCCGCCGACGAAACGGGCGGGGCCCGAGCCGCCTCCCCCGGGACTTACCCACCATCCAGTCCATCTCCTCCACGTTATCCCCATAGAGGCCGTATTTGCTTTTCCCGACAAAGTTCTGCTTGGTGATCAGGGGCGTGTGGACGTGCAGAAATGACACAAAGAGCAGGAAAGGCTGGCGTTTGTACCTGGGGGACAGAGGTGGCCGAGGCGGCCCCGAGTCAGCCAGACACCCCGACTCCGGGCGCATCCAGCAGGGATTCTGTCCGGTTCCGGCTCTGCAAGCAGCGAGCGCGATCTCCTGCCCGGCCGCTCGGTCCTCAAGGACAGCAGGACCTCTCCGACCCGGCGAACCGCAGGGAAGAATCCAGGCGGTCGGCAAAGTCCCCCCGCAGACGGACAAGGACCTCCCCGGCCCGCTACCTGTCTATGAAGCCGAGGGCCTCCCTCAGCAGGAGCGTGGACACTCGCTCCTCCATCATCGGCTGCTGGACGATGTCGTGGTTCCGCATCAGAACACAGTTCCAGCGGCGCACGAAGCCGTAACTCGAGTACCAGGACAGGAAGAAGAGGGCGGCGACCAGGGCGGAGGTCAGGATGAGCCAGCAGGGGACCGGGAACCAGCGTGCGAACTTGGGGACCATGAGCAGGACAGGGATGAGCCCCAGGGCGGCCGTGGACGCCCAGAGCTTGACACGCAGCCAGGGGTGCAGCTCCGGCCTGCGGGACGGCTGGCAGTCACTCAGGAGCTCCAAGGGCAGCCCGTAGAAGTAGTCGAAGCCGTGGTTGAGGGGGTGGTGACAGTGGTCGTCCCGGGAGGCGCAGCTCAGGCCCTGGTGCCACTTTCCTGCAGCACAAGAGAACGTCCGCCCCGTCCCACCCACCAGTAGGGATCTACGCGAGTGCACGTGTGCCCATAAATGTGTTTATGGCAGCCCTGTCTAGAGTGACGAGGACGTGGAAACACCCTCAGCACCCAATGGCACGAGACTGGGTGGAGGAGACGCGGCCCGCCCGCTCCGAGGAATATTACGCAGCCCCGAAGAAGGAGGGCGCGTTAGCATTGCCAGCAAGAAGTGGGGGGCGTGCAGGGAATTCCACCTAGCAGAGCAGGTCAGAAAGATCGAGGAAAATACCGCGTGGCCTTGCACCGATGGGCAAAGTGAGATGGCGGGTCAGTGGCCCTTGTGAAAGCCCCCACACGCTGGGAGCTGGACGAGACCCCACCCTCGGCCAGCGCCGCGGTCAAGCTGAGTGGGCGCCTCGCACGGCCAGCTAATCCGTGCGCTTCCCGGGGCCGCGGGCCCATCCCTCTACTCGGAGAAGCGGCCGGTAGGTGTGTGCGCAATTCCGGCAGCCCCCTGGGGTGCACAGGGGAGTCACAGAGACGGCCCAAGCCGACGGCGGGGGCGGGGGGCGGGGAGGACGACGGTGCCCGAGCCTGAGGCCTGCTCCGCCCTCCCAGTCCTACCCACGAGCCCGGTGCGGTAGCCGAGATGCTGCAGCGACTTGGCGAAGGTGGTCTCGTTGCTGGGGAGCCCGCCGGAGCCGCCCAGCCAGGTGAGGTCGCGGCTCATCTCCCCGGGCGACGCCATCCCTGGTGCAGAGAGTGGACGGCGGGTGAGGACCGCGGCCCGTCCCCACTGTGACATCCCCCAGCCCCGGGCTCTGCTGTCTGCTCCGTCTCTGCTCCAGGCGACACCGCCTGCGTCGGGTCACTTCTTACCGCTTTCCCTGGCGCTCGGGCGTTGTGGGGGGACAGGACGCACGCAGACCCATGGTGGGGGGGACGGATGGTACATGGGGTCACGTGTTTAACCTCAGTGCGGCAGGCTAAGCCTTTTAGACATGCGCTTGCGCCTTCCCCAAGGGCATTCTGCCGAAGTGGCCGCACGGAATTGGAAAACAGCCCGGGAACACACAAGACGAGACAACGCTCCGTCCTCCCCGCGGACGTCGCCTGGGCGGCGAGAGGACCGTCCAGTCGGGGACCCAGGGGGAGCGCGATGCTGGCGTCCGACCCCTGGAACCTCTTCCATGTTGCGCCAAGGCGGAGATCCACTTCCAGGGCGCACACGGGACCCGTCGTACGCACGCACATGTGGCCAACGGGGACAGCTGACCGTGTCCACTGAGCTTTCCCTTCGGCAAAGAGCTGACAGCGCCCTGCAGCCGTCCAGTGCATTGTCTTGTCTTCCCTCCCCGACGTCGCCACCCAGTCGATGCCCAGAATTCCCCGCAGCGATGTCCGGTGCGCGCCTGAACGCGCGCCCACGTGCCCACGTCCGTGTTCCTCGGGCGCCTGCACCTGAAAACCTCAAGCAGGGACAAGCCCGAGGGGGCCACGCTGCTGCACACACTACCGGGCGCCCCGTTTCTGCAGGTTTCGGGCCAGAGAAGCGGGTGGAAACTCATGCGCGGCGCAAGAACAAGGACTCGCGGTGTCCGCCGTTGCCGACGGATTGATTCCTCCCGCCTCGCGTGTTTCCTCCCCGGCCCTTCCCGGGTGACCTGCGTCTGCGGGCAGGCAGACACGTCCTGAAAGAAAC